TCAAAATTATGTCTCTTATACACATCTAAGGATCAAGAAAAGAAGGATGAGAATTAAAAACGATGATTCGTCAATTTCGGCAAAGATCAAGAAAGAACGAACGAAGAATGATGATTCAACAATAGAGGTCGAAAATAATGAAAGTCTAAGAGTCGTGAAACAAGAAAGAGATATTCAATCTCAAAGTTCAATTTTTTTAGATTGAGTGAGTAGCGTCATTAATCAGAAAACGTCGAAATTTTTCATTGTATATAATTGTAAATAATAAGTTTACTTATAAAAGTAAGAGTCTTTTTAGTTTTATATTATTCAAAATCGTGTCGAATGACACAAATAAAAGGAAAGTTGGTTGGACTTTCCGAGTTTATGTGATTACCTGACGTTGTTTGTATATAACGTATAAATTTTTTTTTAAAAAATCAAATAAAACAAAACAAAAATAAAAATCATTATTAATCTTGTATGTGTTTATTATTAATAAATAGTTAATATATTACGCGAATTGCGTTACAAGTTAGCTAATATCAATAAATTTGTATATGTACTCGAAATTTTTCATTCATAAAAATTTTTTTTTTTTAAAATAAAAAAATAATTTCAAAGTATCCTCCTCTTGTGTTTAATTTAATTAGAAGTATCATCTTCGTGTTTCGATTCTTCATCAAATACGCTCGTATTAGGAGAAGTCGCATTATTTGAAGAAGATTCAGTTAAAGAATCATCAAATACGCTCGTATTAGGAGAAGTCGTATTATTTGAAGAAGATTCGTCGTCGTTGTTGTCACCATCATCAACGCGCTCATTTGATTTATTTTGATTTATAATCTTTGTCAAATCACTTGAGAATCCGAAATTTAATTCTAGTTTTAATTGAAATTCATTTGTTTTAGATTCAACTAATTGTTCAGAATTTGAATTATCATCACCATGTTTAGTATTTGTCACCCTTTCATCATCATCATCATCACTTTCTTCTTCTTCTTCTTCTTCTTCTTCTTCTTCTTCTTCTTCGTCGTCGTCTTCTTCGTCTTCTTCGTCTTCTTCTAAAGCGGAGGAAGATCCTTCCATCTCATTATCTTGCTTATAGTTATCTTGCTTATGTAACTCGGTTTCTAAAAAACAAACGTCATTAATATTTGTAAAAAAATGTTAAATGTCAGATCGATCACCTACTGTATAACTTACCCTCCCAAGCTTGATCTTGAAGTTCCAATTCACGCGATATTAATTCACCAAGAGGTCTACTAGTATAAATAGCATCAGGATGTATATCAAAATCTTGATCATTAAATTTCTTATCTAAGAAATCATCAAAATTCCAACTTTTAACTGTAATAAGAATTTCATTGGCAGAAGGTCTGCTTACAGGTTCAGTATCCCAACATTGTTTCATTAAATCAGCATAACATTCAGGTATTTCATTAAAATCAAATTTTGGTCTTAAACCTTCACATATATCAAAGATTAAATGTTGATCATGAGCACGATCATAAAAAGGTGGTCTATCAGTAGCTAATTCAAACATTAACATGGAAAAACTATAAATATCAGAATCTTGAGTATATGGCCAACAATTAAAAATTTCTGGAGCTACATAAGGTATTATACCTAATATTTCATCATTACTATTATTATTACTATTATTATTATTGTTATTGTTATTATGATTATTATGATTATTATTATTATTATTATTATTATAATTACATAAACCAAGATCACTAATATTTAAAAAAATATTTTTTCCTCTTGTATGTAATAATAAATTACCAGGATGAATATTTTTATGAACGTGACCTTTTGAATGAATATCTGATAAAGCTTCAGCACAATCTTGTAATAATCTTAATCTATCAGACCAAGAAAAATCCGAACTTTCTTTTAATAAAGTTCGAATATCAAGTTTATTATGATAAGCTGTTACTAACATATAACGACCTGATTTTGGATCTAAAGTTAAACCATATATTTGTACGATTCGACTACAACGAGATCTTTGATGTCCATAACATTTTCGAAGCTATTATATAAGAGAAATTAAGAAATTTTTCGTTAATAAAGAAATATATACATATATAAACAACAACATCATCATTTACCTCATTAATGAATTCAGGAGTTATATTATTTGGAGCGTAAGGTAATCTTTTTAAAATTACTTTACATAATTTACGTCTCACAAACATAAAATTTTCATTATCCCATAAATTTCTTGGACCTTCTAACCAAATGGCAGTATATACATTAGATTGACCACCATTAGTTAAAAATTGGATATTAGAAAATTTTTCAAAAGGGATCCATTCCCAATAATATCTATGACTATAAGCCTTATATTGAGTATTTCTAATAAATTTATCTAATAAATCATTTTTACTTGACCATTTTGAAAATTTTTTAATAAAATCTTTTGATTCACAATTTTTACACCAATTAATGGTTCTTAATTTACCACATTCATAACATTCTTGTAAAACGGGTTTTATAATTAAAGGACCTTTTTTTCTAAGTTTTTTTCCTCCTTCTAATTCATCATCATCAGAATAATAATCTTCTGAATCATCAGAGTATGCGGCAGAGGGCGTAAATTCAAGTTCTTCATTCCTAGCAGCTTTTTTGGAGAAACGATTAAATTTTTGCGGATGGAAGATATGGAAATTAAATTTTAGCGAGTGGAAGATATGGAGATTAAATTTTGGCGAGTGGAGATATGAAGATTAAATTTTGGCGAACGATTAAGAATGGATTAACGGATGAAGTTTTAAATTTTGGAGGACGATAAAGTTTTGGCGAACGATTAAATTTGGTAAATGTTAAATTTGGAGAAAACAATTAAACAAACAAACGATTAAACAAATAAACGATAAATAAACGATTGAATAATATTATATGTATGTAATTTACCTTTCGCTGAAGAAGAATTGAATAATCTTAATACTCCTCGAATCTTGGTCTTCCATGTTTGTCGAGTTGGCATCTTGAAAAAAAAAAATTTATATATTTATAAAATATAAATAAATATATAAAATAAATATATAAAATGATTTTTTTTTTAAAAAAAAAAACCAAAAATTGAAGAAATGTATGTGTATATATAAAAATAAATAAATAAATAAAAAAAACCAAAAAAAGCAGTTTTTTTTTGAAAAAAAAAAAAGAAAAAAAAATAAATTAAAATAAATTAAAAAAAAAACTTTTTTAACTTTCGGAAAAAAAAAATGAGTGTAGTTGTTTATTTTAATTAATATAAAAAAGGAAAGGAAACAAAAAAGAGTTTGTAAATTAATTAATTAAAAAAAAAAAAAGTAAAATTAGTATGATATATATTAAAAAAGGAATGGGGAAAAAATATAGTATATGACGATTAATGATGATGATGATGAATGAATGGATAATGGAATGGGAGAAAAAAGAGAAAGATTACCTTTTAGTTTAAAAGATAATTTTTTTTTTGTAAATCCCCTCAACATTTTTTTGTTATTCTGTTATCTTATTTTTGTTGCAATGTTAAACACAATAACTTTTTATTTTCTATCTTCGATTTACACACAATTATTTAAGCGCGCATGTATTTGTTGAACACAAATCACACAATCGCATATATAAAGCATTTCGTTATTGTACAAATTGTACAAATGCTCTTGAAAAGAATTTTCCCTACTCTTATCAATTTATACCGCAATGATCAACAATGCAAAAATTAAATTTGTTTTTTTACACATAAAATAAATTAATAATACACTGCAGTTTGCTACGCCATTCAAAGTTCTTCATGTTTTTAAAATGAAAATTTTTCGTTGTTCTTTAAATAAATGCACGAATCAATTTTTGCTTAGTCACATATATTGATACTTACTTTATTAGTTCTCTTTATTACTTGAAGGTGATGTTGAACAACGGTTGTAATGGACTAATCGATTACCTAGCTTTGTTCTATTTCGCGTGAAATTGTTGTGAATTTGGTACGTACATCAAGTATTTTTATATATGATAGAATTTTTTACTCCCTATAAAAAAAGTCCGGAAACCATCCCTACGCGTTCTAAAAATATCTGGGAAATCATCGTCAAAATAACCGAATGATTCGAGCAACCCCGCATTTTTTATGACGTTTCCGGATAGTTTACAATGGCTTAGCTGTTGATTAACGGATAACCAACAAATTAGTATTAGAGTTTTAGGAAAAGCTTGGAGTTTAATTATTCGAAGGATTTTCCGATTATTTTTCACTTCTTTTTCACACTATATAGATAACGCAATTAACTATTTTTGGTTATTACTCCGTTAAATGTTGTAATGACATTCTCCCATGTGTGCAACATGAAAATTATTTATTATTTTTTAATGTATTACTAATTAATATATATATATATATGATTATATGTATATACTGTATATATATTCCCTATCTTTTTTGATCCCAATATCATGTTATCTTTAAATAACGATATCATACGTTCTACAAGTGGATCATGTTTTAATATTGATCAAAATATTTGTTTATACATTTGATCAAGCTATCTGATGATACTTGTAGAAAGTCTTAAAAAAAGATTGTACGATAGAAAATCGACTAGAAAATCGTTATTACAATAGAAAATCGGTATTATCACCAAGAGCAACTGTTTCTGTCATACATTTTGTAATTTCATTAAAATTTGCTGTATGAAGTAATACACAAAATTTGTGTTAAATTCGTTGATATAAATAATTGGTTTTTTTTTTGTCTGCTCATTTTTTTTTTCATTTTGCTTTAAATTTTAAATTTTCTTTCTTTTTTTCTTCGCCAATGACGACGTATTGAACCGTTCTCGAATAATGATCGTAATGCGATTTTTTAACCATTGTCATCGAAAGATAGTAATTGATGCTTCAGTTACTTATTAATAATTTCATATACTATTGCATCAAAAGTAGCACAAACTATTTAGGATCGATTCTTGATACATTTTTTGAGAATTTCATTTCCGTCATAAATTTTATTATCTCGACTAGGTGATGAAAATGGTGAAGCTGAAAATATGTTAATGAATGATAGATATCATCAGAAGCCTAATGAATAAATAGGAATGTAATAATAAGTATTTGCAGCGAGTAAGAGATCCAATTAAATCCGAGTAAGATAATTTTAAACGTGCTAACCAGGCTTGGGAAACATGGAATTGAACGTAGTAATAACGATGATCTTTATAAAAAATGTACGTCTTGATGGGTTTAATTTAATAGTCGTCCGTGATTTCCTTATTTGAAATTGTTATAAACTAATAGATGTTTACTTAAAAGGATAAGCTAAAAATGTCTATCAGTTAAAAGGTAAAATTGAATGTGATAATCAATGATATCTAGGACTTCCCGTAAAATAATTATTAAAGCAATTACAATTATGGTTCAAGAACCCGTTGATGTCGGTAATGAGGATCCATAATGTGAAAACATGAAGTGTTTGAACGATGCTCTATTCCATAATAAATTTTAATCAATCAGCGTACTAATTGAGTAAGGTGCCTGAATATATTAAAAAAGGAGATATATACACAGTAACCATATATCAGAGTAATCGACCCTTAAGTAAAATACGGAATTGACGGATTAATTTAATCTTTTGACAGGATAGGGCATGGATATCATGAGACCTTCCCCGTGACGAAAAGAGCGCGGCATAACAGTACTCTACAAAAGTATTTCCCTTATATAGTACTATGGTACTATGGTACTATTGTACTCCCGGGGTACTATTTAATCTAAGTTGAGTTTCTCGGGAGTTCTATATGCAGCGCTATACGGTAGTTGCCACCAAATATTTAACCAAATGACCAGAAGCTTGATGTACTTCCCCTTATATAGTACTAGGGTATTATGGTACTATTGTACCCCCAGGGTACTATTCAATCTAAGCTGAGTTTCTCGGGAGTTCTATATGCAGCGCTATGCGGTAGTTGCCACCAAATATTCAAATGGCCAGAAGCCCCTAATGCAAAAACTTTTTCAGTTGTGACCTTTTTTACGAAGATATGGTATGTCGACATGGATGTCCCAAGGAAATCGATATATTAATGTAACCGGTGCAGTATATCGAATTTCGTTGTGCATATGCTGAAACCACGGAAAAGATTTTATGTTGAATTTTTTCTTGAGTTATTTTAACAATCGAATTTCTCAACTTTACTCCATTGATGATTTATTTATATATAAAAGTATAGCGCTAAAAAAAAATAGGTTTTAATGTTTCGTATTATTAATTTTAAAAATAATAATATTATAAAGAAAAAAATTTTAAAACCGAATAATATTCAGTAAAATAAATTTTTTTTTTTTAAAAAAAAAAAAAAAAGTTCAGCCTACTGGATAAATTAAGATTATTAACAGGAAAAGTAAATTATCTAGAATTTTTAATTTGAAATTTTGTACAATGTTTTATAACGAATAGATTAAATTATGTAAAACCTTGATTAAATATGAATGATGATTATGTATTTATATGGTCGTAATTATCCATAATTAATATTATATTAACAGTTAATGGGTCGGGTTTAGTTTACAAAAAAAATTAATTATAATCCGTAACGGTAATATAAATTTATTTAAACGTTTGACCTACTAATAAGAGGAAAAGTAGGAAAAGTGGAAAAGTAAATAATTTAAAATTCGATACAGTAGTAAACTTTTATAAAATAGATTAAATTATATATGAAACTTTTTTTGATTAAATTGTCATTAATGATAATTATGTACTTTTGTGATCGTAATTATACAATAAAGAAATTATTAATTCTAATCATAATCCGTAATGAAATGACTAAATATTATTCTCTATTTGGATAGTTATAATTTATCATTTTTGATTGGATAGTGAATAACCTTCCCCTTAAATTCACATCGCGCGACAAAAAAAAAACCATTGTAATATCTTAAAATATTTTTAATATTGTTTACAATTTTCATTGTTTTACAAAGGATTTATAAAAATAGTATTTTAATTATCATTATCATTTTTTTTACATTCAATCCCAAATTTAACCGACTATAATAATTATTAAATGGATTTTTTTTTATCCAATAAAAATGAACTTTCTTAATTAATTACCTTGGTACGCCACAAGTGAAGTTTCATTTTCACATGATTAATGGTGACAAATAACGTGACGAACGCCCGTTGTGATAATTAAGGAAAATTTAATCACGTGAGGGTGAAACGTTTTAGTAAATATTTTCGGATAAAACTCCGATTTAGCCACTCTTTTTTTTTCCCTTTATATCGCCGTTATTTTTTTTTTTTTTTTTTTCTAAAAAAAAAAAAATAATAATTCCATGTCTGACATTCGAGATAAATTCGTTTCCGCAGCAATTACTAGATCTCATGGATTAACAGATTTTAATATTCACAATGACATACATAAAAGACATGAATTTCGTAAACAAACAATACATAATGATAATACACTTACAAAATTTGAAAAAATTGAAGCAATAAAATGGTTAAATAAAGAATATGATCGAGAAAAAATTCTTAAAAATTCAGGAAAAAAAAGGATATGTGAAAATTGTAAAGAAAAATGTTTAGGTACATTATATTGTGAATATTGTATTAGAAATCATTTAAAATCAAAATTTTTAAATTGGTCATCTGGTAATAATAATATTGATAATTTAATACAAAAATGTCAAATGGAAATTCTTCATCCACAAATGATAATTGAATGGATCCCTTTTAATAAATTACAAAATATTAAATGTTTAACAAAAGATGGTTATTCAGATATTTATACTGCAGATTGGATTGGTGGTTGTTATAAAGAATGGGATATTAAAATTCGTCAATTAAAAAGAGTTGAAAGACCTGGAATACAAAATTTAATTACAAAAGTTGTACTTAAAAAATTAGAAAATATTGAAAGTGCAAATCAAAGTTGGTTTGATGAGGTTTGTAAATAATAAAATCTTTTGTAATTCTAAAAATTTATGTTTTATTTAATATTTAACAAATTTCTTTTTTTTTTTTTTATAGGCTAAATCACATTTATCTATAAGCAATAAACATTCAGATATTGTCAAATGTTATGGTTTAACACAAGACATATCAAATAGAAATTATATGCTTGTAATGGATATAAGGGATATAGATTTAAGAAAATATTTACAACAGAATCATAATAAACTTAATTGGAAACAAAAAATTAATATTACTTTTGAAATAATTAGAGCACTTTATGTTATTCATAAAGAAAATTCAATTCATAAAAATTTACATTCAGGAAATATTTTATATTCACAACTTAATAATCAATGGTATATTAGTGATCTTGGATTTTCTGGTCCCGCTAATAAACCTTCATCATGTATATATGGAAATCTTCCTTATATAGCACCTGAGGTTATTAAAGAAATTGATTATACCTTTAAATCTGATATTTATAGTATTGGAATATTAATGTGGGAAATTTCATCTGGTCATCCTCCATTTATAAATTATGGTCATAATTATAATCTTGCAATTAATATTATTAATGGTATAAGACCAAAAGTTACTTTAAAAATTCCTGTAGAATATAAAAATTTAATGGAACAATGTTGGGATGCTAATCCATTAAAAAGACCTGATCTTTTTACACTTATGAAAAAAATAAGAGAAATGAATTCATATTATCAAGGTATAACGGATGATTCTGTTAAAACAGAAATGTATGATGATTTAAAATTAAATAAAGCAAGTAATAGTATAAATAGTAAATTATTTACAAGTAAGATTTATCAATTTGAAAATTTACCTGAACCAAGGAATGCAACAGAAGGTAAATATATAATAAATATATATATATTATTTTTTTTCCAATTATATATTATTAACAAATTTTTTTTTCTTTTAATGATAAATAAATAAATAGATGAAATAAAAGGTAAATATAGATATATATATATACGTTTTTTTTACGGTATTATATTAATATATTTTACGGTAATATTAAATTAAATTATTTTTATTTTATAGTGTTTTATAGTAAATTACATGAATATAATAATAGTAAGTATTTTTTTATTGAATTTATTGAATTTATTGTATAATTTGTATAATTAAATTCTTAATTATTAATTTTTATCTTTCTTCTTTTTTTCTAGAAGATAACAATAAGAATAATAAAAGCATATCAAAGATTTTTAAGGGTAATTTTATTTGATATATATATATTTTTTTTTTGGTAAAATTTTTTTATAAGTAATGATTTATCTGATATATTTTATATTTCGAATTTTTAGCCAAAAATAAAAAGTTAACTAAAATGCTTAAAAAATTACAGAAAAAGAATGGTAAGTAAAAAAATGTTAATATTATCATATCAGATATTGTTTTATTAAATTTATTAACGTAAATAATGATCGTTATTTAGACGTTAATAACGATGATAAAAATAAATCAAACCCACAAACAAAAGGATCGGATTTTGATGGTAAAGTAAAAATGTCATAATATACAGTATTTATATTTATAGTATTTATCATAATTATAATAATTTTAAATTAATTTTTATTTTATTGTAATAAAGACGACGATGATGAAGTATATCATTCTGAAAGACAAGATGGATCGGATTCTCTCGATGGTAAATTTTATTTTTTTATGTGAACGGAAGTGAACGGAAGTTAAAGGTACAACGGCCAAAATTTTCTTTCTTATTAATAAAAATTTTTTTTTCTAGATATTTAGATATAAACGAATTTTTTCATCCCTTATATCCCTTATTATAAAATTTTCTTTTTATTATTTTTATTTTAAAATTATTTACCCACTCCACTAAGATTAAAAGTAGCAGGATTTCTTACAAATGTCTTAATTTGTATTGTAAATAATCCAATTTTATTCAATCTATTTCACATATCTGAGACGCACATACATATCTGGAACGCATTTATACATATCTCATTAGAGAATTTTTTTTTAAACCAAAATACTCATTTTTTATAAATAAATTTAAATTTAGCAAAAAATTTTTTTCCTTTATTATAAAATTACTGAAATAAGGTTTGAAATCATTCTGCTATAATTAACAAACTACAACAATAAAAAATGAGTTTGTCCATAACAATAATTAAAACGTAACACACTTTACTAAAAAAAAAATAAACTTACGGTATCACAATATTTGAATTCCTGGAATTGTGGTAAGAATTGAGTAATTTATAGCAAGTATAGCAAGTATAGTAAGTATAGCACGATTACGTGATATGATTTTTAATTTAACGTGACGCACGAAAATCACGTGACTCGTTCGATTTTTTCAATTAAATTTTTTCGATCTATGAATCACGGTTTGTCTGTATAAAGGTTATCCTAGTATCATAATATCAGAGTTATTAGAATGAGAGAACAGACTGATACTCTTATCAAATTACAAATTATTAAAGAGTATCAAAAAAAACCCCAAAACATTATTAATAAAACTCACCATATTTGAAAATTCTAATGATTGTTAAGTGAATTGTTATCGAATCGATGGAGGGAAAGGATTAAGAAACGAGTATATCAATAGTTATGGTAATGCAATTTGAAACTAATAAATTCGCCTGAATTGGTCTTTTTTTCTTTTATTCCGACGCATGTACACGCCCACACCGCATAACATACAACGTATGTAGGTTTTATCATTTTCCAATATAATAAAATGAAATATATTTTGATATCTATGATCAATCAACAATGAAATTTCTTTCTTCATTGTCTCCCTCACCCAAGATTTTCCATTGCATCAACCTTTTTCTCTTGAATATTATGTAATTCACAATCAAGACTCTCACTAAAATCATGTTAATAAAGACTCACATTGAGTCTTTTTAAGAAACTTATTCATATTAAACTCGGTAGCAAGGAAATTATGTGTTCGCTGATTTTTCCTTTTCTTTTTTTTTGGAGCGATTCTTTGTCTTTTTTGTTGAAACCCTTGCTTCAGTCCCGTCTTTCAATTTCCGTATCAACAGCTGAAGCAATACCTCTTTAATATTTCATAACACTTCCTTATAAAAAGAAATAGAAATTGTAATAATTGTAATGAACTATTTTTGTAGTTAAATAACAAGAATCTGACAAATATATACTCACAAATCAGACCCGCTTAGAGTTTTGTTTTTTAGGTCTCCCAAAGCAGCAATTCTATATTTATAGTGAACCAGTTTTAAAAACGGTTACGGGATACAACGGTTAGGTCTTGAATGGTTCAAAGCCCCCAAGACTTATAAACTTAGTAACCCGCAGTTCACAATAGCGTAGTGACTCGCAGTCCTTCCTAACAGAGCGCAGTTTCTCGCCTTCCAATTGTCTCTAATATTTCTACAAGACACGCGTCGTCGTCAAAATCGTATATTTCCATATTTTCTTATTGATATTTGACAAAAAATAGTTATAAAATTGATTGTGAATATAATATCGGCTATCGCCTATCGAGATGAGATTTTTTACTGGAAATACAGCGTTAGTCAGGTCAAAACAAAAATACTGTTTTTGTGGTGTCTCGAGATTAAATATAAGCCACATCAAAAATTCCCATAGTGGGTAGATTACAGGAGTTTAAAAACCTCGATATGGAATGTTAGACTGTTGTCTTCATGAGATCAGAGATCACATGATATCAATCAGATCTCAAGCGTCAAAATGTTGGAATAACAGATAACAGATATAAATTAGATATTTGAATATCATAGCGCAACAAAAAATGATTACCTATACAAATGCTAACCACACGTACAAATTTCTTCCCGTTATTTTTTTTTTTTTATGATTCGAGAATAACAGATAACGTGGTTTCATATTATTATTAAATAACGAATTTGGAGTGCAACAAAAATGATTATACAAATCTTTTTACCAATTTCTTTTTAAGTACATGTATAAATTTTTTCACTTTAAATTTTTTTTTTTTGATTCAAGAATAATTTATATGTTTTTTTTATTCTATTGTTGTCTTTTGTAAAAAATGAAATTAATAAATCTGAAGAAATTAAAAATTCTATATGATAATGTGATATAAATACAATGCGAGTTTAATGTAATAAATGAATTAAAATCTTGAAATAAATTCTAAATACTCTATTATATATATAAAAAAAACTTGGATATACAAGATTTTTCAATAAAAAAAAAAATAAAATATCTACAATTAGGGAAAAAAAGGGTTTTCTACAAAAAGGTTTTAAAACGCAAGTTCTGAAACCAAATAATCTTCTGGACCCTTTTCACGACTTTCTGCAGGTTCATAATGTTTCTTCTTTTTTCTTCTAATTAAAGATCTCGTTCCTACCATTAAATGTTCTTGAATTTTTTTCCACAAAGAACTTCTTAAGCCACGACTTACAATTTTTTGTGTTAATTGAAGCCAACTTGAAACGGTCAAATCTTTCATATGATAGTCGTCCCATGTAGTATATTCAATTGTATATTCTGGTGTAATGTTTGGATATAAATTTGCATGAGTGAGATTTATGAAATACTGCGTATATCCTAAAGGCGTCAAGAAAGTGTTTGTGGCTGAGGAACGATCTCTTCTACGTCTTCTTGTTGAATCGACATCATCATCTATTGTATCTTTTTTAGTATCTTCTTTTATATCTCCTTTTGTTACCACAGTTGTATTATACTTAAATATTCTCAAAGCCGGGAAGAATGTAGGAATTATAGATGGATTAATATGTATAACAGCATATTCTTTCTCTACGAATTCTCTAGAACGCGGAAGAACTTTATTATAGTGATTAATAAGTCTCTTCGTATAGTTGTCAATATCATAAACATTTGTTTCAACTTTTCCATTTTCTTCATCATCATCACAATCGTCATCTTTTTGAACTTCTTGACTTTTGATTTCAAGACTTTCATCATTGTCATCATCTTCCTCCTCATCTTCTTCCTCATACTCGTCTTCGTCATCGTAATAATCATCGTCATCATCATCATCGATATCGTCATCATCGACATCATATATATCTTCTTCTTTATCATCGTATATATTTGCATCATCTACGAGAAACTTGCGTCGTCTTCGAGTACGTCTCCTTATAGATTTGGCATCAATGAAGAAGAAATGATCCATATTAGAATGTCCATAAAAATGTCCTAATATCATATCGTGAAACTTTAATGCCAATCGTCCGTATCTTCTATAACATGATCTTGTATATTGTTTAGCTCTTGGAGCAACGTGACCCGTCAAATAAACCTTCATTCCACGTTTACGCGCTTTCTTCAAAATATCATTCAACCATTTCATTTCAATTGTACCAGGTTGATCTGCTTCTTTACATCCATTAACGGCAGTATTAGCTTTATAAAAATATAACGTATTTAATGAAACAACCATAAGTTTGTTAGGTATGACTTCTGTATAAAAATATCCTCCATTAAGAAAAGTTTTATGTTGTCCTTTAGGAATAAAAGGAGACCAAATATTATAAAGTATTGTAAGAACATCATTTGGTCCTGAGGAAATGATATTATTAGGATGAATATCATTGTTTCCTATTGATGGTATAATAGGAATGAAATGTGGACCACGTTTTTTTCTAAAATTATTTTCGTCACCAAAAGTTTTTAGAAATTTTTCAGCTATCATACGATTTAACATGAATACTTCTTCTGGTTTTCGAGGAAAATTATCATCATTATCGTGCCTATATAAATAAAATAATAAGAGGTGAATATTAATACTTAAATACTTGATGTTTGCTTGCGCATGAAATATTAATAAAATTTTTTTTTCAAAAGGTTACAAAAAATTTACCTAGCATTATCTCCGGTCCATATAACAAAATCAAGTTTATTTTTCCAATTATTTTCTAACCACTCAAAAGTTGTATCTATAAGACTAAAAGGAGAATCACAAACGGTTGCCGGAGCTCCCCAAGGACCAGATATACCTTTTTTCATATGTTTTGGTCTCTTTGTATCTTGAAAAACTTCATGACATCTTGATCTTGCAGTAACGTTAGAAACGTAATTAGGATCTGGATGAAAATCTGTTATATGAAGAAAATTTCCGTGAAGCTCAACATTTGTTGAGTCTTCTAATGGAGTTGTTTTTGGCTCAAAAACATAAAAAGGAGTTATCACTAGTGAGAGAAGGAACGATAATGCGATAAAATAAAATATTTGAAGAGAGACCACCATATTGAATTATGGAATTTCTCTATAAAAAAAATAATTTTTTTTTTTTTTTAATAAAAAAACCTAGTTGATAATTTTAAATAAACTATGGCATTTATTTATATAATTTTTCGAATTCTGATACTAACCGGATATATACCGGATATATATTATATACGTGGTGGATATTTATTATGATATCATTTACGCCGAAACATGGTTAGACTTATTCTTTTGTGATTAACATATTTTTTTAAAACAAATAAAGTTAATAAATGAAAACCCGTAACTTTCCGGGGCGTAATCAAGAAGTAGTTCATTTAATTTAACGGGAATACGGAGAATACGGCAAGCGCCATGTATTACGAATTTGAAACAAGAATTTTTAATTGGGCATTTCATCCTTATTTGACGTCGCGTGATTGCCTTATAGAGGAATTGTAAATATGTTACTGTAAACAGCGTAAGACAAATAAATGAAAAAAACAAAACGACTTATTCGGTAATCCCTAAAAAAAAATTTACTAATACACTTTTAAAAAACGATTTTCTTGAATTTCAAATACTTGCATGAGATTTTATATACAGAACTATTTTTGGAACCAATGAAAAAAAAAAATTTTGAACATCAAAAGATCATCTTTTTTATCTTTTTCTTAAAAAAATAAAAAAATAAAAAAAAAAAAAATGATTTATGAATATTTACAGGCTAAAAAAAGAAAAATATTTGCAACATCAAACATTTTAAATTTGCCATTTTCTTTTTTATGCTTAGCATATTTAAAGAAAGTGATTGATAATCATGTGTTATAATATGTATTAAATATTCTTTTTGGATTTTAGGTTTAACATTATTTTTTTACGCCATTCCTTAAAATAATCAATAAATAAATTACCCAAATTGTTGATAACCGTGTAAATCCTTAGATTTTTAAATGTATTTTTTTTTATTTTTTTGATGGATTTTCAAATCCGAACAATTTAGAATAATCCGATGCTCACTTTTTAATTCTAAGGCATACGTAAACTATACTTACGTCAGGTTTGTTTTTTTTTATTCTGTTTGTTTTTGTTCGATAGATACGCCAAACTTCTATCTAAGTCTTCTATATGAAATTTAACTTAAACTTATTATAGTTTAAATCTTCGATTATTTCTTTTTTTGTTTATCAAATGCATGCTACTTGCACATTGACCATTATTCCCAAAATGTTTATACTTGCAACTATATCTGATAATGTATATTTATCTTTTTTAGAAGTAAATGAACCAATTATACTGCGCAAAGATCTAAATCCTAAGGCGCATTTTAAGGAGTTAAATAATGGACATTACATCATTTTACAGATCTATAATTCATATGAATATATACGATTTATCTCACTCGAATAGTGAATTGCGTTGCATGTATAAACAATGGTTTATAACTTTTTAACATTTTCAACATTTTCGATTTACTTTCCTTAAAACATTTCGTTCATAAAATTGGTTAGAATTATCAGAAACGTTCGTATTCTTTTTTTTTTTTTATCGTTTCATACTGCTTTATTCGGTGCGAAATTCAGTACGATCTCTTTTGTAATACAAATAAAATATTTCAAATTGTTATCTTTTTATATTATTTCGGAACAAAGGTTTTATGCATGATAAACGGAATAACCCTATCGTGATTGTTATTGTAACATTGTAACAGGAGATTTCTATCGCAAAAATGAACTTATATTAAACGGGAAATTTCCCTTATCATACCGTACTCAATAATTAAGTAAAATATCAAAAGCTAATGTGCAACGAAGTTAAATAACAAATAATGATAGTAAAAGAAGCAGAGAGGATTATTTTAAAGTTACTTTCTTACGTTACCAATGAAGACAAAAATTCGGGTAAATACGAATGTACTGTACAGGTATATACAACATACAATAGTAGAAGCTATGGTTACACTATTATTAACAACATACAATAGTAGATAGAAGCTGCAGTTGCTCATAAACATGTAAGTACAGCATATATTACATAATTTATTTACAAATCCATTTCTATTCATTCTATTTAAGAACGTTGTTTGACTTTTTAGCCTTTACCCTCAAATACACACATTACGGCAGATGTTAAATTTGATAAATTTCAAGTTAATTATTACAAGTATAGGTTTATAGTATGTATTTGACAAACACAAAATGAAAAATGACGGTAATTCCTTTTACAATATATTCTAGAGTTGAGTATAGTGTAACTACGAACTGCAAAAACTCTATATTTATTGTATAGTACATGCCTTGAATTTTTGACATACTATGTAGTATATTGAACATGTTGAAACCACTTTAAAAGTGAAACTTGCTGATTACTGGTCACATGACCTATGCGATATGAACGATTATTCACTAGTAGATTAAACTTGGTTACACCAGATTAAGTAAACTCTTTACAAATTGATGAATAATTAAAAAATTATAATAATTAATTTTTTTATCATCATACTATAGAGTATAGTAGTACACAGTGAAATTCGATAAACCGGATCTGTCGGTTCCACTAAAAATATCCGGTTTAGCGAAAAAATTTCGATATATTGAAAATCTATTATACAGAATTTTTAAAAAATTTTCATGCTAATAAAATTAATATACACCATATAATTAAATTTTTCATCTTAGTTTTAAGTCATAGAGGTCATGAAAATGAATATAAAATATTTTAATTAAATATATAAGTAATACAAAACTTCAGCCGGAATTAAGATTTTTATAATTCCGGCCAAAATTAAGATTTACCGCATCACGTTACTTAAATTTTATTGGTTAATGATCACGTGATTCGGTTTATCGAATCATTTTTTACTATAGCTGGTTAGAAAATTGATCCGTAATAGCGAATATCGAGCTTTTACTAGTAAACTCCGGTATATCGAACCTATTTTAATATACGTGATTTGGTTCCAGCAAAAAAGTCCGGTTTAGGCCCAAATCCGGTTTATCGAAGATCCGGTTTATCGAATTTCACTGTGTATTTGATAAAACTAGGGAAATGGTAACACGTTGTTAAGTCCGGAGCGAATGAGCGATAAGGCACGTGATCAAATAACACATGATATATATTAACACTCCCATCTTTATCGAAATCCACCAAGGAGATTCGAGAAACTGGTCACCTAAAATAAAGAAAGAAAAATAACGAAGCATTAATGATCATTTTGTTAAAAAATTTTTTTTAAATAAAAATCCGATAACCACCTCTCAGAATCTAAGGAACCAACCGCCTGAAAAAAAGAAAATAACGAAATGTAAATAAGAGAGAAGTTGGTTGGTTGTTTGATTATTATCTAGTGTCATGTGATTATCATCTTTAATAACCATTTCGTTAAAAAAGATGAATTAAAAGCCAAAGAGTCAAAACCGACCGCCTATCAAAATAAAAAAAAGAACTACAATATTATAACAAAGTTCGTTAAAAATAATAAAAAATTTAAAAAAAAACAAAACTAATAATATTACATCAGATCGTATGGTTAGCCACCGAAATTCTATGTACCGTCTAAAAAAAAAGACAACGAACTGTTAGAAACAGTTCGTTAAAAGAAAAAAGAAAAAAAGTCTAAAAAAAGTGAAGTCCACCAAAATTCTACGCGTATAAGACATTTTTTTCATTATTTTTCATTAGCACTGCTGGTAATTAAAAGGTTCTTTTAGTCTTTTGTTTGGATTTAAACGTCATCAACCATCTAAAAAAAAGGAATAATTGAAAGTTTCGTTAGAATAAATAAATTCGAAAAAAAATATATTTCCAGATTTCCTAACCAAGATTCTGTGTCAAAAGAGCTAAAAAGCAACCATCTAAAGAAAGAAAAAAGAATGTTAAAACCTTTTCATTAAGATAAAAAAAAAATTAAGAAAAAAAAAATGAAACCCTACTGAAATGTCACGTCCGGGAAGTCTAAAAGGACAGCCTAAAAAGAAAAAAATCGAACACTAGAAAATGTTATCTTTCAACGGAAAGTAAGAGAGAAGGGGGAAAAGGGAAGAGAGAGGAAAGAGAAGAATGAAGGAAAAGGAAAGAACGCGACGTGACATTTGCTTTTGGAGTTTGGACAATCAGTCAATCTATATAATGAACATGATACATTTTGCTTTATCAAGAAATAAAGCACGTAACATATGTATTGTATGCATCGACTCACAGGACAAGCGGGCGGACAACGGGGCATTTGTGAAACCGTTACGAATAGTATATAGTCCTTCGCTTCGCTCCGGACTAATTAGCATAATTAGCATAATTATATGTAACTGACAAACTATACTAATTGCATTATTCGTTTCTGTATTTATAACACTACCGATTTTGCTATGCAATAAATAAATAAAGCATTTTATAAATAAAAATGTTTAATGCTATAATGCAAAATATAAATTTTAACTGCCCGGCCCCGCCCGCCCCGCCCGGATAATAATTTTCATGAGAGTTGTTATATAATTTTAGAGTTAAGGAAAATTAATTGCTAAAGGACCTTCAATACACATCAATTTCATTTGATCAGTTCCATCAACTAAATTTCAAATATTAGCGTTAGAGTCTATTTATTGATTTACTTCACAAATAATTAAATTACTGCATACTTACCTTCAAACTTAGTATCAAAGATAAAATTCGTATTAACAGGATCATTAGGGCCAGATGGCAAGATGTTTAACACAGTTTCATTAAAATTTCCAGCTACAAAAGGACATCTAAATACACTACAAAAATCTAATTTTTTAATAGATGTTTTACCGCTGTAGGAAAATGAAGATGTAATAGTTGCTCCTTGCTGTATTGCAACTTTGTTAATTCCAGTAGATTTCGCAAAAAACCATTTTCCAATAACAATTGGATATGGGACGAAACTCAACTCAGTTAATTTTATTGGATAATCATAATCAGTACAATTTCTGAATCCACTCAATTCATCAATCACTTGGCGATCATATAAAAAGTTCGTTGGATGCTGAATTGCAAAAGCATTCGTAAAATAGATAAATAAAAGAATTCATTTTTTTCTGCGTTTTTGTTTGTACTGTAAAGAGTACTGTATATATAGCTAAAATAAAATCGGATTATCCGATGATCGACAACTGTTCGTAACAAGTTTATACGGCGTAAATTTTTACTAAAAGCTAAGAAAATAATTAACGCGTAAATAACACGCGTATTATTTACCATTTATCCGATGGAAGAGTCACATCACACCAATCTACGCCACATACTAAAAAAAGCTTAACGATCACAATTATGTTTTGTTTTAATTAAATTTATTAATTAATATAAAGTAATTAACAAGTAATTAACAATTTTCTGTACTACCATTTTCTAATTCTATAGGTTTACTAAAACAAAAATTTTTTTATGCCTAGATGTTACAATTTTGTGCTTTGTTTTAATGAACAACATACAAAAAATAAAACCACGTTTGACAACTTATTACAAATTATAATTATCTTGAGTAAATTCTAAGGAATAATCCATCAAAGAAGGGTCGATAAAAGAGAAGGATGGGTCTATTAATGATGGATCTATTAAGAATGGATCTGTATACGATGAATCTGTCAAGGATTGATCTATAAAGTATAAATAAGGAGGGATTCATATCAACATCCAAAAAATCACTTTGAAAAAGATCTGCAGCTACCATATCGATATCAACTTCCGACATATCTATATCAATTTCCGACAGATTGATATCAATTTCCGGCGAAATATCAATTTCTGAAGTAGTGTGTGACACAATTTCTGAAGAATCTTTCGACACCGAAGTATCTAAATTAGTATTTTGCGAAATGATTTTTTTTGAACTTTTATTTTGATTATGAGATCTAACAGGAGAATATTTATAATTAGGATATTCTATTGAATGAATTTCCTTAGTGATATGAGACAATTCAGTCCAAAATTGCGATTCACGTTCAGGTATTTCATTCCAAAAATTAGATGCAATACCGGAAATTTCACCAGTTGACATATTTAATCCTATTAATCCCTTCGAAATATTTTTGCGATATAGAACCCATGGATTTTGAGGTCTTGGTATGCTTTTCGATCTTGTTGCATTTGAAGGAGATAATAATAATTCTTGCAAATTTAAATTGTTTTAATATCGCCGTATTTATTAATTAAATCAATAATCAACTGTTTTATTCTAGGTTCATGTTCATTTAAATTTAATGATTTGGATTGATCTCGCACAGAAGATTGTAATTTCTTGATTCTTTCTATACTTGAAGATTCTTTTGTTTTTTTTTATCATAGTTTAAGAGCGAAAATGTGGGGAGAGAATCTCTATATATACTGTTCATTTATTGGCGTAAAACAATACTTATAAATACAAAAGAAGTTAATTTGACACGTATTATTAATACGCGTATTATTTATTTAACTTCCAATGCCTAGAAATAATAGATAAAGAAAATTCTTCTTTGAACAAGTACAATTCATCATAATATGCTATGGCATAATTAATTCAATTTTTCCCAAAAATCTAACTAATTGTGAGAGGCTAAATTTTCTAGTTGAAAAAAAGTTAGTATCAGGATATGTCGACTACTCTCGCGTATATTGTGGCATGTAACTAATAAAGAGTTGATTTTTTAAATTAGTTATGCTAAATCAGTTTTTTATTATAACTTACTAATACATGAAGTAAATAACAGCAAACAATTGTTAACCTTCTGATTTAATAAATTATATATTTTTTATCGTTATGCGTTTTGTAAAATATTAATAGCTAAGAAAATATGTTCTCAATTAAAACTCAATTCCATTTAATCGCGTATAAGCGACTATATTAAAGAATGAAGTAAATTATTTGTTTTTAATAGTTAAGAATATATTAAACGCAAAAGATTTGAAATATAAATTTCATTTCAAATAATTTTTTTTACTTAGTTCCCAATGTTTACGATATTATTAAATCGTATTTTGTTGATCATTGTCGATCGTAGCATCACATCTTTTGTGCTGCGTTTTTTTTAAAAAAAAATTATGTTTATCTAAAAATCTACCATTTTTTTTACATTTTTAAATCAAATAAGTTACTCAAAGTGAGCTTTTCCTTTACCTCTTTTAGACCTGATGTATCATCGGTCACTTTGTTTTGTATGTACTTTATTTTCCCGTCCACGCGATACTCCTTTATGACTTCAACAGCTTCCTTTGGCGCAATATTATTCATTTCAAAGGCATTTTGGTTGTGACTTCTACACCAGAGAGAAAGCTTACAATTTTTTGACCCCCATTTTTTTTGTTGCACCCATCAAACATTATTAAAATATCACGCACATCAAATGAAAACTGAAAAAAAAGACTAATTAGTAAGAAAATGAAAATCACCTCCAAGAATTGAACTTGGACACAAAAATTGTGGAACCAACGGTGATGGATAATGTTGAGTTAATAAGTTATTAAGGAAAGAACTCAACAAAGGAATGAAATAAAGGGTATCACATGTGAAGAATGAAATCACATGAGATAGATCAAATGATCAAGAAAGGTAAATTTTACAAGACAAAGGATCTCTCTGACACCAATTTGCATAGTACAAAGAGGGCGATGCAAACGATCCCCTTGTAAAATTTATCTATATAGGAATGGTCAAATGATCAAAAAAGGGTAAATTTTTATAAGACAAAGGATCTCTCTGACACCAATCAGCACGGTGCAATGCTTCATGGGCGATGCAAACGATCCCCTTATAAAAATTATCTATCTAAGAATGGCCAAGTATTCCCGAGTTGACCAAAGGGTAAAAGATTACGTCTCCATGCTATATTTGGTAAGCAATGGACCTAGCTACGTAATATAAGATTATTGAGAAAGAAAAAAAGAAAAGAAAAAGATAGTAACTAAGCTATTGGGAAATTAAAAGGATAATATTATTTAATAAATAGGTTAATTTATAAAGCAAAGAATAAAAAAAGTGGAGAATATAAATTATGCAATTAAGCAAATAAAGAAGATGAAGAAGAATTGATGATAAGGTAGATAATATATAAAGAGTAAATGATAATAATATATATAGCAAAAAATTTTTAAAAGCGTAAAATAAATTATAGAGATATGAAGGAAGAGAAGGGAGATGTTTAAGAATGAAAAAGAGTATAATAATTATGTATTTCAATGAAATAAAAAACAAAACAATTATATGATTGAGGAGATTGGTATTTATGAGAAGGATTATAAAAAGAATGTAAAAAAGTAATGGAAGTAATGGTAGATGTTGAAATAATGATGGATGTTGAAGAATTTCAATTTGTTGAGGAGTTTCAATTTGTTGAGGAAGATTATAGCATTTGTTGATTGGTATTTCATTGAAAACAGTAGAGATAATATTTGCGCACAATTGATAAGACATTTTCAGTTGATATAGAAGATTAATATTTGAGAGAAAAATAATATTGAGATTTGAAAAATATTACTTGAAAGTTTGAAAAATAATATTTGAAATTTGAATTTTTTTCTTGAGGAAGTGAGGGTATATATATACTTGTAAAAACATTTGATAGCTCATAAAAAAAATAAAGATTATCATGTATGAGTCACATTTGTTTCAATATGATTTACCCCTATATATCAGTAGCACTGATGTATTGACTTATACATAAGCTTTATATAATGTAAACCTATATAATATTTTGCAGTAAAAAATCAGCATATCGGCATATTATGTATTTGTAGATTTATATTTATAAAGATGAGTCACATTTGTCACATCAATTGATTCATAAGCTAATTGATCTGAAACTTGTACTGTAATATGAATCTTAACAGTTAATTAAAAAAAATTATCAAGTTTTTTCTAAAATATCATAATCAAAAATAATAAAATTTAAAGTAAATTAATATTGGTAAAGGATAGATATTGATATATTTACTATATTTTTGCTTTGGACATTTAGCTACAAGTAATTTTGAGCGATATAATTATCACCGCATAAGCTTTTCCAGCAATTATATATAATGACGCAGATTTATACATTACAGATAATAGAGGTATCATAATAAGTGTTACATACTTGGGAATGTATTATTTGACCGTGATATAGCTTATAGCATCAGTTAAATGGATAAACTATATACTGTACATTATTTAATATCGGATATTGATTATTTTTTAATAGCCCAGACAATAATAATATTATAGGTATTATAGTATGTGGGCAATATCACATGGATTAATTGATGATCGGCTATAAATTTTTACTGATGTGGCCAACCATTTGAGTCAAACTTTTTTATTATCACAGGTATAGCCAAACTAAACAAATATACGTTGTTGTAAATTGAAATGTTATTGATGTTGTATCTCGAACAACTGAGATATCATGTCAAGATCAGTTACATCTGTGATTTATATTATAGATTGTATGTTCGCCAAAAAGATGAAATAGTATCCGCAATTATCATATTTTGATAAAAAACAAAGATCATTATCTTTAACTTTGAACTTCGAAGAACAGAACTCGTATTAGCGTTAGATTTAAATATGTATAAAATATAAATTATCATTTATTTTATACCCAAATTTCCGTTTTATATAATATAGCTGAAAATTTTCATTTAATTCTATAATATTCTTGTTCCCTATAACCAGGATTCAAATCACATCCTTCCAGCTGTTGAAAATGACCAATCATCTATTCATTGTAATACTTCTCGATTACTTGATTCATTTACAAAAGATCTTCCAAAATCTAGCCGTAGTACCGCAGTACCGCAATTATTTCGTGCACAGTATGTATAAGACGTCATCATAAGAATTTTTTTATAAGCCACATTATAAAATATATTTTAGTATAAATCAAATTTCAGTTGATGTTATTGATTTTACATAGTATGTTATTTCTAATAAAAACTTTCTTTTAAATTAAAAAAAATTTGTTAAAACTTTTAAATTAATTTTAATTTTTTATAGGAGCTTCAATTGAAAATGAAAGTGAAAAATAACAAATTAGTAATTATAAAACTTTTTTACTATAAATGAACAAAATCAGTTTGTGATTGAGCAATAAAGTCAAATCGTAAAGACTTATTAAATGAATAAAATGATATAGAGTATATTCTTTCACAATAAAGTGTGGAATATAATGAAAAGATTAATTAGAACGATATTTATCTGGACTATAAATTATTATTGCTTGTATAAATTTGATTATAGAATTATAGATTCAATATTTTGCAAATGCTCGTAAAAATAAAACATTGAATAAAAAAAAAGAATATAATTTTGTGAGGGAAATTGAACATTTTCTTATTTTAATTAAATTTTACAAAAAAAAGACAAAATTTTTAATTACAATTATCTTTATAACAGATAACAATTTTTTGTAAAATAAAAAAATTAATTTAGTATATTACACGTCATCATGCAATACCAAATCTGATTTTAAAAGTACGGATATAATAAATAGATTAAAATCACTCGCTTGGATAAAGTTTTATCAAGCTAGTCACATAAAAATGGAATGTTTATGGTATAGTATAATGAAAATCTTATTGACATAAAATAAGGAAGATTTGGGTCATTTTTAAATCATAAATATACATATTAAAAAGTTGGATAAATGTTGATAATTCGTTCTTTTATTGTCCGAAGCGTAGTTAGCGGTTAGACACATTGTAATGCAAGGTATGTCTGTCCGCACGCGTGATTAACCAATAAGATGTATTATTGATTATTATCACGTGATCAGATTTTATGATTTTAAACGAGTGCTTCGGACATTACAACGGATCCCGTTACCTAGTTTTGTTACCCTATCTATCCACTTCACTTATCACTATTTATATTTGGGTCCTCTATTTTACTATTTAGCTCTTAAAAACTTTAATAAAGATACTAAAATATATTAGAATCATTGATTTAAGTTGGCCGAATTTTCTGAACATTATTGCAAATAATATGGTACATAATTATTAAAAGCGATATAATATCAGTTTTTTAAAAAATTATGCGTGAGTAATATTTAAGTAAATAAATTACAATTCTTCTAAGAAACAAGCATCAAATTTTAAGATTTATCATTGAGCAGGTCAGGCCAGGCTTCACCAAATGAATATTCAGAAACCACGCAAAGACGAAGAATTTTTCTAAAATAGATTTATTTTCCCAGTTATTCTTAAATATCCAGTTGATTTTCTAATATCACTAATGTCGATTCCATTACTACTTTGCTGATATCCTACGATTTACTGTAAGTACACTATATTAGCACCACAAAAGACGTATCCCAATTGTAATTGGAAAATATATCCTATGGTAGCTGAAGAAAAACATACCTTCAAAAACTCTAAACGTTATTAACTCAAATTCAATGGTTTCCTCTTTTTTTTTGATTTTTCAAAAGAATTTTAACACATAATTTGGTTTAATTTATTATTAATCTATTAAAGGATGATTTTGGTCATGCACTGAAATACTGCATACTATAATAAGAGAAATTTTTTATTCCATATTTAAGTTACAGCTATAATGTACTTTCCGCTGCGGATAATGGATTATATCATTTATAAAAAATAAATATGATGAAAAAATTATTGAAGTATTTACATGTTATTTGGAGGATTCAATTTGATGACGAAGAACGACGTATTTATGAAACTGATTTAGCTTATTTGCATGAAATAAATAAGGTATCTTCAAATTCTATTTATTTGATCATTTATTAATAATTTTAATTTTTTAATTTACTGTTATATTTAAAGACAAAGGTGTTAGAAGAATCACGCAATAAACCAAAAGGTTATCTATGATTAAAGAAAATTCTGCCAAATTTCAATTTGTTGGAAAAAATGAAAGATGGTATTACAAACAATTATAATTACGGTAAATCATTCTAATATTAGAATTACTACTCCAATAACTTATCTTTCCATCAATATTTTAATTTTAATACAGTTAGATAATTGTTTGTCATTTTTGTATTAGTAATAATAAAACAAAGCTACAATATTATTCCCAGTACATTCTGTTATTATTTAAATCTTTCGCATAGTTATGTGATTTTTTAGTGTTGTGTAAATACAATAAACAAAAAAATAAATGTTTCGAATATCTTGCAGTTACCGAAAATAATTACCTGGATCACGTGAATGATGATCAGTGATACTTGGAAAAGAACAGCACAACCTATATGACGTACTATTACGGATATTACCGGTTCTATTTTGTAAAATAATCTCGCCAAAAATTTTATTATTTCACTGCAATCATACAAGACGTTAAAATGCATGCTCAAGTAAAAAAATATACAATGTTTGTTAAATCATTTATCTCCATTTCGATTATTCAAAAAATTGAGAATCTAAACATGTTCCGAAACATGATTGAACCAAAATTTGTCAATGAAAAATATTTTAAATGAATTTTATATACAAGAAATCGATATGACATTTCAATTAAGATTATGTTCAATTTAAATTTAGGAACAGAAAACAGATTTAATAATTTATTGGAAATAATAACAATTTTTTGTATTTATGTAAGCGTTTAAGGATACTGTTAAAATGACTAAAGTTACTAAATCTTTGTCTTTAAAATGAGGAAGTAATAATTCACGGATAGTTTAAAATAAACATCCATCTTAATTTTCTGATCTGCTAAAGACCTAGATATTATATTTAATTTTTTTAAAAAAAAATTCTAATTTTGTGAAACTTCCAAATTTATCCAGGAATTACTATTTTCCTCAAATTTCGTGCGGACTTTCGACATAGAAATGTCTGGTGTTACTATCCTATCTATAAATAGTAAAAATATTTGTATTTTCTTTTTTAAATTCTACCTTTATAAAACCGTAAAATTAACTTCCACAGTAAAAATTTCCCTGCACTTAACAATGTCTAATAACACTGAACTTATTAATAATTCAAATGAGTGTGATTGGATAGAAGAAGCAATTTCTAAAAAACTTATTAAATTTTATGAATTTGGCCAATTTTATAATCTTCAAGAAATTGGCTCTGGAGGCTTCGGAAAAGTTTATCGTGCAGATTGGAAGGATTCTCATAAATGTTGTGCACTTAAATCTTTTTATAATTTAAATGATGCTACAATTAAAGCGATTGTTCGTGAGGTAATTATAATATAAAAAAAAGAAATTTTTAATTATTATAATATTTACATTTCTAATAAAAAATTATTTTTTTATTTAGATTCAACATCATCGTGAAGTTGATTTTTATGATAATGCTATCCGTTTTTATGGCGTGACAACTTTCAGTAGGGATATGATAAGTTTTCAATAATCATTTTTTAACATATAATCATTAATTAACTTGTCTGTTTTCTTTTAAAAGAAATCAAATCAAAGAATATTCGTTGGTAATAGAATATGCTAACGGTGGTGCACTGCGAGATTATTTGAAAGAAAATTTTGAAAATCTTACTTGGAACGATAAATTTAGTCTTTGCATTTCAAACTGGTTTATGCAGTATCATGCTTACATGGTGAAGAAATCGTGCACCGTGATTTGGTAATTAATCAATTTATGATTTATTATAATTATTTTTTATTTAATGCTCATTTTATCTTAGTTTAATCTTATATACTTAATAATAGCACTCCAAAAATATATTAGTTCATCAGAATACTGTTAAGTTAGCCGATTTTGGACTTTCAAAAAGGATTGAGGAATCATCCAATCTTCAATCAAAAGTATTTGGAATGATTACTTATGTTGATCCAAAAATATTCAATAGAAGAAGAAATATTAACAATAACCAACCGGAAGTATACTCATTAAACGAGCCAGAGTGATGTTTACAGTATTGGCATACTCTTATGGGAAATTTCTAGTGGACGACCACCTTTTTGTAATGAATTGAATGATCTCGGTTTGGCTATAGAAATTTTGCAAGGTCTTAGAGAGATATCCATTCCTGATACACCTGAAGAATATATAAAAATTTATACTGGTAAATACTATTTAAACCTATGATTTAAAAATAAAATACAAATTTCAATTAATATATATTTTTTATAGATTGTTGGAATATTGAACCTGATGATCGTCCATTTATCAACAAAGTGTTTGATAGATTAAAAGAAATTATAAAAAAAGAAAATATAATTATTAAAGACTTTCACTTATTTAATGATAATAATATTACACAATCATCTAATAATCAGCAGCCAATTTTGGATGGTAAAATTTCTGAAAATATTGATTCATTACATGTCTCAAGTCATTCAAAACTTCAATATGATGAATACAAAAGAAATAGAATCTTTGATGTCATCAAGTAACCAATTTGAGAATAACTTTGATACAAATGCTTTTGACTTATTAATACCAATTCCAAGTCCAAGAAAATTAAAATCTCCAAGTAAGGCAAGAGAATTTGAATTATTTTGGTTATTTAATAATAAATTATTAAACTCTTGTAAAGTTAGATTACGGCTATTAAGATAAGTTGGAAATTTTTGTTTCCCTACTTCAATATTATCAATATCAAAATTAATCATATCATTAACTATTAAATTATATCAAAAGGCAACAGACTTAGGAAATTCATCTGGAATGTGCAGTTTAGGATATTGTTAACTAAATGGAATTGAAACTGATATTGATAATAAAAAAGCATTTGAATCATTTCAAAAAGCAGCAGATTTAGGAAATTCATATGGAATAAATCATTTAGGATATTGTTATGAAAATGGAATTGGAATTGATATTGATTATCAAAAAGCATTTAAATTATATCAGAAGGTAGCAGATTTAGGAAATCCTTTTGGAATAAATAATTTAGGATATTGTTATAAAAATGGATTTGGTACTAATATTGATAAGTAAAAAGCATTTGAATTATATCAAAAGGCAGCAGATTTAGGAAACAGTTTAGCTCAATATAATCTTGCTACCATGTATGAATATGAAGAAGGAATTATTAAAAATATAGATAAAGCTATTTATTGGTACAAAAAATCAGCTGAACAAGGAGTTCAAGAAGCTCAAAATAGATTAGAATAACTAAAAAATAGGAAATAAAGAACAATAAATTAAAAATATTTATTTAAACATTTAAATAAAATCACCGCTACTACAGTTATTTATTTTCTGTTTTTTAAATAATTATTAAATTGCCACTCATAATTTTAAATATTTATTGATAATTTCTAATATCATGTGCTAATATCTATATAAAATTCATGATGAATTTACTTAAATAAAATCAATATATTATTAGATTTACCATATCAACTATGCTAAGAAGGACTAGAGTTTGGAATCGATTAAGGTTAATCGATTAATTAATCGACTAAGACGGTTAATCGATTAAGGTATCTCAAAAATCGGTTAATCGATTAAAATTATCAACCCATAATTCTGGTCAAATTATCTAATGCGTCCCAGAGCTTTGTATTTTTGGTCTCGTGTTCTCCGAACTTGGAAGAATTTGTATTAATTTTTTAATGATAATAATAATAAATCATAAACTCACAAAGCCTTCTCAAGCTCGGCCTATGGACTCTTCACCCGACTCTACTACCCCTCCGCCTGTTTCACAGGCTATTTTACGTCTTTACAAACCTATTACAAAATTTTTTAACATTTCCATGAGAATTTCCAAGCTCTCGCCCTACCTGTCATGTGACACTCGTGGCAGTGGAACTTTGTACAATACTAGAAAAGGACGATATTACCTTCTTCGGCTGTCTGAAAAAGCCGATCTTCCTCTTACGGAAATTGACAAATACCTGATTTACACCAATGATATTGAATTATCAAAAAATCATCGTCATACATTTCGATCTACATCTAACAAACCAAATTTAAATTACATTTTAGGAATTTATCTCACATTTGTCTTTTCTTTAAATAGACAATTTCACAAGGATGCTGTGGACAAATACTTTAACCGTTTACGCCAATTATTAAAAGAAAAACTCCTAGCACTACGATATCGATTAGAATCAACTGATAATAATGATAGAAAAACTAAAACATTTATCCGGTTCAGCTGCGGCCCCCACGTGATCTACTTGGGTTTTTATTTCCCTTGCGGTACGCTACATTTTGCACCTGGTGAGAATGAGGGCTCACTATGTATCCACCCCCCCGCCTTCGTACAATCAAATAATCGTTGGCGTTGCGGAGGTCATCTCAAACTGATTCGACAGGTCTCGCACACTACTACTCGTCATCCAGTAGAGCCTAGATTCTACGCTGAACAGTTTAACCGTACGGTAAACCGACATCACAAGAATAAAAAGAACCACAAAGAAATTCATTCTAATCGCCTCGGCATTAGCTATGTCGTTCAATTTAAACGATTTCGCTCGGTTGATTTAAATTTACCTAGCATTGACAATAAAACGGTTCTACCATATTACAAACAATACCGCACGTTACGTTTCGATGCGGTTCGTTCACCTCAACAGCAGGCACGATGGAATAGATTTATTACGTCTACACTCAGACGTAACCACTCCAACCAGACTATCCTACCTCTTTTACTTCCTAACTCCCCTGGACATATGGTTTTTAAAACCATCCATCATCTCCCGGATCTTTACATAGGACGTTCACCTATACAACTTTCTGACGCTTTCAAAAATTCGCCTAATGGTCTTAGGCACTATAATCAAATACGCGCATGTCAAAGGATCAATAATTGGATCCGTCGCACTAAAAAACGCAACCGTCTCAAGAAACAATTACCTCCCCTACCTGCTGGTTTTGTTGGAGACCAGCGTACATATTATTACGTTACGTATAATATTAACCTGTTTGATTATAATATTAGACGACTCTATAATGTCAGTTCGATCCCCCAATACAATTACGGTTATTCCAAAGCGGTTGAGCTATACCGCCAACATCATGCCAAATTCGTCATGATGAATTTTATACAATCACCTCCTAACGTTTCTTACCACATCAAAAAGAAGGATCAACAAATCTTTAATGATTCGAACCTCTATTTCCGGCGTACACCTCCCCCGGACAATGATTCGCACACTACCATGAGCGACATTACTTACTTCTCGGCTAGTGAAGGACCTTCCGTTGTGGAATTCCCGCCTACGCCGTCACATGATTAACTCACTTGATTGAGTACAACAACACCGGACCTTTAAATCATGCACCATTCCACACCTGACAGTATTTACGTGTGGTGTCTTTATGACAAAAGAAAAATACGGATTCCAGTGATATACTTGAACTCACCTTTTGTCACGTTTTGTTCCTTTCCCTTGTATTTTTAGTTTTTCCTTTTTTTATTTTCTCGTTCTTTTTTTACTGGTTTTGGATAGTCCGTTCTAGACTCCAGGTTATGCTTGATTGTTCTATAGAATAATGGGCAAGACGACCCCTTCAGGCTTCTCCTGAGAGGTTGGGTAAAACACTAGCTCAGAATTTATTGATCTTTTAGACCATGTTTATTCC